TGGGTTTGATGGATGAACTGTTCGATGGATAAGGAGTTAAATGGTTGTTTGCATGCAGAGGGTAAAGGCCAATGACTCAATGCCCAGACAGAGACTGGTGACTGGTGATGTCCCTCAGCAGTCTGTATTGGGACCAATGCTCTTTAGTATCTGCATTAATGATACAGACAGCAGGATCGAGCACATCCTCCATTGTTTATTTTGAAGACATAGGAACACAAGATTGAATAGACATCTTGAAGCACTAATTCCTGTTTCTTGGCATTCATGAATTTAGCAAACTCAGTTTGAAAGACCAACAGACAGGTTTATGATGTTTTTTTCCCCTTAAGTCCATTGACATCACAGTTAATAAAGATTATTTTAATATCCAGTGGCATTTATTCAATTAAGCATTTACTTTCTCAGCAGGCTGCATGCTGTACAATACATGTCCTTAGGCAGCAGATAAAGAAATCATGAAACTCTAGACAGTTCCTGACTTCAATCTCTAACTTTTATCGGAGAAAGTTTTTCTATATCTGAGACTTTAAAATGAAAGATGAAATGCCAGGATTAAAGTTCAGAGGTGGCAGTGATGGTTTAAGATGAAACAGAAAAAAAGAAAGAAAAATAATAAAACCAATCCTCTGCAAATAGAGTATCTTGTTGCATTAACTATTACTACCAGTTTAAGAATCAGAAAAGCAGTTTCAGCTCCATGAAGTGAAAACATTAAAGACTTAAATCCCATTGATTCTGATGGTATTTCTCCACACAGTTTTGAGTAAAACACCATGAAATGAAAGAAACATCTTGCAAGATTGTTATTTAGCTGGATGTCACAGAGATGATTTTTATATAGACCTCTTTTTCTTGCTCCAGGTAACCTCATAGTGAGCCACATATATAATTAAATATAATGATTAGTGTCATACAAACACTTGAAGACAAACATAGCCATGCTTGCTTCTTTCATACTTGTGACAAACTTCCAAGATAAACTGGGTATATATATATATATATTATATATATATTTTTTTTTTTAAAATAGACATAGCAATGCAAATGCAGGAAGATCTTAATACTGCATGTTTCTTTAACACCTGTCTTGTATTTCATCTTCCTTACATCCCTTTTGCAATCATTTATGGGCTCATGGTTCATCAGAACGAGGAGGAAAAGGGCAATGAAACAACTCTCTTAGACCCTTGAAAATATATGAAAACTTTCTGCATGTGTTAGACCCTACTAAAGCCCTGTCAAAATCACTTGATCAAGACTGCAAATGTCTGCTATGGTACCAAATCACCGGTTAATTTTCAGCTCATAGAAGTGAATGAAGTGACCCTAATTAATGTCAAGGAGTCAAGAATGCCTCCATTCTGTTTCCAGCACTCCCTCCACCAAATAATGATGTTGTTTACATGGTTTTGAATTCTATAAATTTAATTCAAGATGAGAATGTACAAATTGCTGCTGACCTTTCTGTTAGTTTTTCTGTGTTTATCCCCAATCCCAAGGAAAAAGGGAACTGACCATATGAAACTGAAAATCCAAGGATTTATTGTTGCCTAAGTATAATCTTAAACTTTTTATGAAAACACAACAACTACTGAGATTAGTTGAGCTGCAATATTATTAATATATTCCAAATGACTACAGAAAACTTTGTTTATAATCACTTTGAAATGTGTCAACAAACATGTTAATATTCATGTGTAACAAGTACAATAACAAATTCAATTATTTGTCTTTTCCATTATCTCACATTCTTGTGATGTTAGATATTGCTGCCTAATTAGAACAACTTCAGAGATAAGACTTTCCACTTGCTACTCATTTCCACAAGCTAGTAAAGTTAATTCATGTCAAGGGATAAATTCCTTTTATCCAATTTTAATACCATGTGTTTGTGAAGGCTCATTATCAGTGGTTTAATATGCTTAATCAATTCTGAAAAAATTCAACTGTCAAAGAAATTTTTAAGAAACAACATATATGGAGATAAACTGCAAAGGGTCTTTTATCCATGTTTATCAATACAAACAGCTGTCTGATTATTATCTGAAGATAGTTCATTCACTGTAGCATAAATAGAAATTATATGATGTCAAAGTATGACTTTCAAACTGGGAAACTTCCATATTTCATAAGTTTTCTTCATGATGTGTGTTTTTACCCCCACTACAAATTAACTTAAATCTACTTTTTATTGTCTAGTAGTGGTAAAATCCCATAAGGGAGTGTCAAAATCCTCCAAAATCTTTCAAAGATTTTATCTAAAATTTTTAGAGGTTTTTTTGTTTACTAAATAAAAAACTGCAGTTGCATAACAAGGTTTAATTGTCTTGACCAAAAGTTTTAGGGGTTTTTCCTCCCCAATTCAAGAACTGTAAATGCCACCAGGGACCATTTACAAACACACATACCCATACACACACATAAAGGCACACAGATTAGGAAAAAAAAAAAGATAGAAAAAAAGATAGAAAAAAGATAGAAAAAAGATAGAAAAAAAAAAAGACAGATTATAGACTGATGAGATCAAGGGGATAGTTGTATAAACACATTCAGTTGCTGACTATGTTTAATTATTGAATCAATAGTATTCTGTTTAATTTTGTCCACACAAACACAATGGCCTCTTAATAGTGATTTAAAAAAGCATCGCAGTGTTTCTGAGACACTTTGAGATAAAGTGGTTTTCAGAATTTATTTCTCTCTAAGCTGAAGTCCTATGTACTTTTGAAAGAATGGTGGGTGTTACCAGCTGTCATTTTTCCACATATTTTTGTTCTAGTTATAACATTGTCATCCTTAATTCAGGATTTGGAAATATCAGTGATCTCAGAATATCTGTGTATATTTTTCCACCACAGACTAAAGAGATCTATGATTTTGATAAATCTAAACAGATCTGCCATCTATTCTTTTTGTCAGTACAGTGAAGAACACATTAAACAGAAAAGTGCCATCAGGTAGTTATAGGAAACAATTTAATAAAACCTCTAAAAATCCTCTTGTATCAATTTTTAAAGCAGGTGGTAAAATCAAGTAAAATAATATTTTAAGGAATATGTTTGATTGTGGGGATCTATGAAATATTTTAGGGTAAGTTTATAATTTATTTATTGTAGGGTAAGTTTATAATTTATCTGTGTAATGTAAATTACCAAATAGCAATATATTCCTTCCAGTTTTATATATCTCATCAGGGAAAAATAAAATCTTGCTGGAATTAAAGACTGAACAGGAAAAGCAAAGAGTACTTGATTCTTCCTCCTGCACTATTCCAAAATTCGGGATTTTCAAAACTGTGCAGAAATGTCTGCCTTTTACTGAAGAGAGAAGTTATTTTTTATTCCTGTTATTTCTGTCCACTCTTTCTGTGTGTATCCTCCACCCACACAAACAGGTATGTGTGCAAACACACACACACAGAGATAATTACATTTTGGGAGGTACACTCATTGTAACTAAATTAAATTGTAGTTCCAAAGAAATGAACTGGGCTAATGATTACTACAGCAGTTCGTTTGGAGAGTGACAACTGAATATGAAGTTACACAAGTACTTATAATCTAAATATGCCATAATTTAAGATAAATAACATGATGTTTAAAATTCTGGCATCCTCTGAATCATTGTATAGATTAATCTATGTGTTCATGTTACTTTTGCCAAAGTTGAAGCTGTAACTAAAGTTGTTTTTCTTTTCCTGTCAAAAAAGATAGCAGTGAATCACCTTAAATATATTTTTCTGTTTGTAAGGACTTTTCTTTAAATCATTCTGTATTTTTGAAATGCTGTCAAAATAGACCTTTTTTATCTGTTCACAGAAAGAAATTTAATAGGAATGTTGACAGTATCTGTCATTTTAAAATAAAAACCAGACAAAATGCTACATGGTTAAACTCAGGGAATAAAATTATTTACTTGATGAAAATAGATTTTGGGATATTTTTCTACATTGCAGACTTTTTATACATATCTTTATTTTTAATACCCATGAATTAAGTAGAAACCATAATTATACTTTACTGCATTATAGCCCAACCATTGCCAGAAAATAATCATGGCAAGAGGTTAATCAGTAAAACCTTTTTTTTTCAGTTAAAATTTAGGAAATAAAGGTTGTTCCTAACTCAGAGACATTTCCATGTTCTTGTTTTTCAGCAAGACAAAATTAGTTTTTAACCTCATTGAAATTCTCAACCATAAGAAGTTTTATTAGAAAAAGTAAAGAATAAGGTCATTCTGTCCTCTCCATGAAGAAGATTAAACAGCTACTATATAAAAGCATTAGAGATGAGATTACCTTGAGATTCTCTAAGGAACTTCAGACATCCCATAACAAATTTGCTCCAAAACTATGTAGATAATAAACAAACAAACAGGACTGGTCTGGTCTTCTGAATAAAAGAGCAGCAAGATGTATCACTGAATGTGAATTTAATTCACAAGGACATTTTCTTTTTCAAATGCTGTTGAAATTGAGCATGCAATTTAAAAACCCTCATCCTAGTAATGAAAAGTGAGCTGCTTAGTCACAATAACTATGACAACCGAAATACACTTTTGGCAATATTGAAATAATTCTGTACATAAATATATTTAAAAACTGGTTCGTATGTAAATCACATCAGAGTAAAGAAAAGAAAAGGGTTATTTTTACTTTAAGTGCTGAGGATAAATAAAGCTTCAGGTATATATAGCATTCTGCAGCTGGGAATCTAACATAACATTCATGATTAGTGCTCACCATCTCTTAGCTTTCATCCTGCTTTTGCAGGTAAACAACCAACTTATTGGATCATCACTGACAAGATCATAAATTCAGAGCATTATTTATATGTTTGGTAGCTATACTGAGTTCCAGTTAGTATGTGGATGAACAGCAGAGGTGGTTTTTTTTTGGAAAACATTATTTATTCAGTAATATATTATGAATAAATACAGTAGTTTGATTTTGCAGGTGTGGAAAGTAAAATGCAAACATATTTTTTTCACACACTTACCTGTTTGTGCCCTGCTAAAGTGCCTGTGTTAGGAGAGAGGTTTCTCTGTTTCACTGAGGGAGCACAATGCACTGCACAAAGGAGTAGCAGCGTGGAGTGCCACTGTATATCCAGAAACTCAGTCTCCCAGTTGCCTTTCCTAGTCCTTAAGCAAGTGCCCTGCTGTCACAAAGGGATTCATATCTACATTTCATCATTTGTAAATCTGCCTTTCGTCTCTGCATGAAGGCAGCACACAGGTGAAATCAGGAGCCCACAGTTTGAAACACATAGGCACGATATCCCTCCTCTTCTGGCTTTTTTTTCTTTTAGCACTCACTTCAAGATACAGAGAGGTAAAGAAGGCTCTCATTTAGACATATCACTTAGGTGCCTGGGCTACATGGGAACAATCCTGTCAGAAGTGACTTGGGAAGAATATGCACAGAACTAAGTTTGTGCTGCTGCTGACTTCAGGAGAGATCTTGGGCTCTCTCAGTGATGCTGGATCTGCTTATGACTCAGCTCTGGGTCAGAGCCAAGTACTCATCCACAATGCTCCAGTTTCCAGGGAAATGAAAGATGAACTCAGAGGCTAACTCTTTGAATTTATGAAGACACATCATCTAAAATAAAACTGAAGACAACTACAGTGAATCACTGCAGAGCTATATATCCTGACTTCTGGCTGTTTTCTTTCCCCTTGAACAAATTGTATCTATTTAAAGAGCATTAAAGATGGAAAAATGTAAATAGTTCCTAAAGAGATAGAAGGCTTGAAATATTTCATATTTCTAATAGAGACAATATAAATGAATATGCTTAAGGTGTGGTTTTAAGTAGCTCAATATTTAAAATCCCTTATTAAAAAAAAACAAAACCAAAAAACAACCAGTCTTAGGTCTTAGATCATGTTCCTGATGAATACATGAATACATATAATTTTTGTTTTATGAGATATTTTTTCCATATTTCAAGCTCTGAGTTTATGTAAAATAATTGTTAAATATTAAGAAAGGAATACAGCAAGACAATGCAGCTTAAACTTGACGTATCATTATCCAGATCAAATTCCAGACATTGCTGAGGCAAATGCAGGGATAATATTAAGCTTGGTAAGACCTGCCTTGTAAGAACAGCCTCAGGAAAGAATTGCAACTGCATGATTCTCAATCCTATACCTACTATTTTTCAAGTTTTCAAAAGTCTCAGTCAAAGGTTGATATAAAACTTCAGTATAGCCTAGTTTAGGATGGATCACTACATTATCTTTACCTTTTTTGTCATTCTCGTTCCTTGAGGAAACCAACATTTATTATTCAAGTGTTGCACTTCCATTTCTTCTTCAGAGGGCACACACTCTCCCTGGATCAGCTTATTTTATTAAAGCAAAATAAACCTCATCAAACAGATAGTTTTAACATTTTATCCTTCATTAGTTACAGTATTTCTCATATACACCTTATTCTAGGTGTGCATTTTATTTGCTTGTTTTGTTTTTCTCAATAGCTCATCATAATTGCACTGCTAAAGCCCCCAATCCATATATTTTTATGTCAGCATGTCATTACAGAATGTAATATATATGATAATGGTGCAAAGCGTGACTAGTAAGCTCCTTCTTGTCATAAAACTTGAGATACCACCAAGCCATCTACCACTGTTTTGTTGGAGAAAGATTATCCAAATCCTAGAAGGACTAGTATTTAATGCCTCTGAGTCACAGAAAAACATCTTACTGTTTCCTTTTGGTTCCTTTAGGTGGTTGAAACTACGTTTGCCAAATACTTTTCTCCATGCATCTTACCTTTCTTATCTCAGAAGCCCAGAGTATAACTTAGCATAACATTTTGAAAGTGATTTATGTGCCTGAATCTTGGAGGAAAATAATGATCCTGGGTTCATAAATTATTTGGCCTTTTGAAAACCTAAATTCTTGGCTCCTCTGTGTAAAGAGAGTAAGGACATAGCCTTAGTCTTATATAACTAGAGAATTAATAGGCATTTTCTCATAGAAGAGATATTTTCATACTTGGTCCTACTATAACAACTGTGAAGCAAGCAATCAGCAAAATAATGGAACCATATTTTTGCTCCTATGTCTTCTCAGCCAAGGGAAACTGAGGCAGACCAGGCTTTCATATTTGCACAACCATACAGCACTTAAGCATTAACAGTAAAAAAATTGGAAACCACCTTCCTAGGTGAGCTAAATGTATCTACTCTTTCATATCACTTGAGAACTGACATGAAGTTTTTCAAAGATAATTCTTAACACTTTGAAGAATGGACAGCCTAGAACCAGCAGCTCACACTGCATTTCACAGCCTCACGTTGTGAAGGTTTCATATGAACTAGTATCATCATTGAAATATGGGTCTTCATTTTTCTTGTTATTGACACTTTGAGATACAGAGTACTTGTCATCTACTTCTAATTCAAAAAGGCCCAGTATTTTTGCAATCTTTAAAAAAATCTTCCCCATGAGCTTAGTCTTGTGCAGATCAAAAGAGAAAAATGACAAAATGAACATTGGAAATATATACAAGGAACTTTTCAGAAGCAGAAACACAACTTTCGCTTCCTGTTGCCTCCAAAACAACTTTCATTTTCCTCTCACTTTACACTTACAAAATTTTCAGATCTGATGGTTGCAAAACAGCAGTCACACCATAGCCTGACTTTGATATTACAATTTCTAGCACTATAGATAATCCCTATTCAGGGACCTCCACTGACTCAAGTGATGTGTCTTGACCATATCCAGCTCTGAATGAAGGTATGAAGCATGACAATGGCTTCATAGCAGGGAATGGAAATAAGAAATCAAAAATGCTCTTTGCTCTTCATCTGAAGGGAGTTATTCAGGTATTGATCAGCTGTCAGATGTACAGTAATCAACAGAACATGGGAACAGGCCTCAGCCTCTTTATTTCAGTTGTCCACTAAATTCTCCTCTAAGACAATCTGGATAGAAGCAAGCACTATGTGTTTTTTAATCTGAAAACAATATTCCACCTCATTGGATATTCAGATATCTGTTCTAAATTATCTCAAATGACCACTGTTCTATTAAATGCAGCCAATATGACCTGTTTTTATAGATAGATAGATAGATAGATAGATAGATAGATAGATAGCTTTTGTAGTCAAAAAGTTTTAACGACAGGGCACATTTTATAAATATTTACTTATAAATAATTACTTTTAACTTTCCTCATTTAACTTCATGCTGATGTAGTAATGCTTTTAAGAGAGACATTTCATTAAGATAGGAGTCAATGAAAACCAACTACTATATTGTACGGAAAGTTTTGCTGGAGAATTGTGCTTGATGTCTTTTAAAGAGTAGTTTTATTTATAGTTGGAAATTTGCTAAGCAAGTTTCTTTATACTGAAGTATTCATTATGTAGATCCATAAAAGTACTCCCTTGCTATTTCTGTGGCTTCACAGGATCTAAACTAAAATAAAGTCATTATTTAGGCATCAGCAGTTTTGGAAATGTGAGAAAGCTAACTTTCTAAAGAATTAGAATTCTCCTTTTAAGGAGAAATTTTGGATGCTATAGATCCCAATGTTTTCCCTTGGTGGCATCATGCTGGAAAGGAAACAAAACTAGTGTAAAAAACTACATAATATCACAGAGATTCATGGGTCTGCAGAGAAATTTGACTTGATTAAACTTTTCATAGATGGGTTGGGATCATCCAGTATGTGGTGTACAGTGTACATATTTTGTGGCCTATATCAACATAAAGAGTTTCCAAATAAAAATATTAAAAACAGTTCAAACCACCTTGTTTCAGGTGAAAACCCCTTAACAACAACTGGATCTCAGTGGTTTGCCAGTATGAGGAAAAAAAGAAAACTAGATTTTAAGAAATTAAGGTTATTTTGAGCACTGCTTTAAATCTGTCTAGTAGTTCAGTTCTTTTTCTGTCTGTGTAAAATTTGAATAACATTTTTATGTGTAAATCATAGATAAGTACCAGCAGATGCAACCGGGAAGAAAAACATTATTCTGTATGAAGGCTCCTATTGCAAGCTCAGATTTTTCAACATATGTGTCAGACAGAAGTTATTTAAGTTTTAAATTTGAAATATTATGCTAAATATTTTAATTATTTCTAGGTTTCAATTTCTTTTTTTGGGAAATGAATGTCAGGTTACAAGGAACTCTCTGACTCACAGATAAATCTGATAGTTGAACATAATGCCTTTTGAATTCTGAGCAAGCACAAAGAAAGAACAAAGCATATTTTACTACAGATAATTTAACTTATGTTAACACTTGACTACAAGAAAGCAATGAACTCCAGCACACTCACTGGATTTCATAGTCACTGCTCTGCTCTCAATTAGCCCTCAATACTCTGAATCAGAGTGCACAGGTCTCCAATATATGCCAGTCACACTGTGCTCCTTATTCAGGATTTGTCAAAAATCCCAGCCTTGTCTGTACTGTCTCTTAGACAAATAATTTTATCCTGTGTTTATGTGTATTGGTTTCAAAGCCATTCTGGATGCCTCTAAGAAACACATATTCAAGGGAAAAAAATCCTGGGATTTAATGGTGTTACCTAAATAAAATATTAACCAAACTTCACACCACCTTCTGAAAAAAAGGGGGATGTCTTGTAGCATCCTCAAACACATAGATGCTAAAAGTCTGTTCCAAAGGAGACATAATCTGGGCTCCCAGGCAGCTTCATCTGCTCTCGGACTATTCTGGGCTGACATTTGCCAGTGATCACACACTCACCTCCACAGCTGCTCTTGCTCCAGTGACTGGCAGCATGGGCACATGGGTCTCTGTCACGCTAAGATCCCACTCTAGCTGTTGGCACATTAGTCCATGCTGCTGTCTGCAGTGCCTGGCACTGTGACTCCATGGTCTGCTGATGTGTGCACTGACTGTAGGGGCTGACACTGACCCTGTTCTTCATTTTCCTCTCAACATTGAACGAGAGTCCATCCACTGCAAAAGGAGTTAGAAATAGCATTTTATAAGTCAGGGCAGACTGTGCTGATGACATGCCAAGCATTGCCAGACAAACAGCATCCATGGGTTTACATGGAATGAACACTTTTATCACCTTATTGCTCCACATTTCTTTTTTTGTTCTTGTACAAAACAACAAGTTCCCTCTCTTTCCTAACCTTCAGTTCTTTCTCTAGGCATCCCACAGTAAATCTTGTGCTATCCCAAGGTGCTTTCCCCCTGTATCACATAATGCGTCCCATACTTCTAGGCAGTGATCCCTCCTCAGTCCCAAAGGTACTCTTCCTGATGGGTGTCACACCTGGGCCAGAGCCTGTCTGTATGTGAATTTATATGTGCTGACTTCAAAGTTTCTCAGCTCCAGACAGTGTCTTTGAGCCAATAGTTGTCACAGACATTTTTTCATAAAATTCTTTCTTTTAGGATTATCTCTTCTGGGAAGCTGAGGCTCCAGAAGAAGAAGAATGTAAACAATTGT